AAAAAAAAAAAAAAAAGAAAATAGTCTGCACCATCAGTGATAAGTTGTGACAGGGTAGAAGAGCCTCACTAAAATAAAGGAAGAATTGCTATAGTGACATGCTTTAAATTAATGTCTCAGAAACCGTTTATCATCTCAGAAACCCTCAAAGGCTTTCCATTCTCTATAGTAGCATTCAGACACCCTTTGGTTTGATCCCTCCCTCTAATTGGAAACCCCATTACTCTTCTTTTTTTTTGAGACAGAGACTCATGTCACCTTCAGTAGATGGCTATGGCATCACAGCTCACAGGAACCTCAAACTCTTGGGCTTAAGCAATTCTCTTGCCTCAGACTCCTGAGTAACTGGGACTACTGGCACCCACCAGAAGGCCCAGCTGTTTTGTTGCAGTTGTTTTAGCAGGTCTGGGCCAGGTTTGAACCCACCGGCCCCAATGTATGTGGCTGGCGCCTACTCACTGAGCTACAGGCGCCAAGCCCCCATTACTCTTCAATGTGTATATTTTCCTCTAGGCAGGCACTGTCCAGTACAGAAGCCACTAAGTCACATGTGGCTGTCAAGCATTTGAGATATGCTAGTGTGAATTGAGATGTGCTGTTAGTGTAAAATACACAGCAGATTTCTAAAACTTAGCACAAGCGCAAAAGTAAAGTACCTCAACTCTTGATGTTGATCATAGAAATATTTTTAGGGTGGCACCTGTAGCTTAAGCGGCTAAGACACCAGCCACATACACCTGAGCTCACAGGTTCAAATCCAGCCTGGGCCTGCCAAACAATAAGTACAACCAAAAAAATAGCCAGGCGTTGTAGCATGTGCTCTTAGTCCCAGCTACGTGGGAGGCTGAGGCAAGAGAATCGCTTAAGCCCAGGAGTTTGAGGTTGCTGTGAGCTATGACGCTATGGCACTCTACCCAGGGCGATAGCTTAAGGCTCTGTTTCAAAGAAAACAAAAAATAAAGAAATATTTTTATATGCTAAACTAAATTATATTAAAGTTAATTAATTTCAGGTGGTGCCTGTGGCTCAAAGGAGTACGGCACCAGCCCCATATACTGGAGGTGGTGGGTTCAAACCCAGCCCTGGCCCAAAAGTGGAAAAAAAAAAAAGTTAATTAATTTCACCTGTTTCTTATTTTCTTAATGTGGCTATTAGAAAATTTAAAATGATATTTCTAGCCAGGCGTAGTGGCTCATGCCTGTCATCCTGACACTCTGGGAGGCCGAGTTGGGTAGATTGCTTGAGCTCAGGAGTTTAAGACCAGCCTGAGCAAGAGTGAGACCTTGTCTTTTTTGAGACAGAGCCTCAAGCTGTCACCCTGGATAGAGTGCCATGGCATCACAGCTCACAGCAACCTCCAACTCCTGGGCTCAAGCGAGTCTCATGCCTCAGCCTCCAAAGTAGCTGGGACTACAGGCGCCCACCACAACGCCTGGCCATTTTTTGGTTGCAGCCATCATTGTTGTTTGGCGGGCC